ACTTCTTGAAATAAGTGAAAGTTAAGTAAAGGAAAGCGATATTTCTCGCGTTCCTTTCTCCTTCTTCTCATCATTCCTTAGATTCCTTCAAGCTTTTACAAATAGGCTCTTTTCGATTCTTCTTATGTCATTATTTTAATGCAAAGACAGTGTTTTAGCAACAAGCTTTTGCTTGCTTTAGAAAATGGTCTGCTGTGTGGCAATAGTCACGTCAGTCATGTGGTCAAGACTTACAATCCACTTATTATATAAAACTTTGTATTCATGTTCTCATTTAACCCCCAATATACATCCAAGGTCTACGTTAGTATTCAAGACAAAGAATAATTTTTGATTTCCTTCAGAACCGATTGCATGTTTTGTTTTGCGACATACGTTGGTTGTTTAACTGTTGGTTTTAGCAAAGGGGTCAGGTAAATTCTTAATCATTTTACCCTAGTCGGTTGGAGTGAACCTTTGCACCATGCCAGTAGCTTCAAGCACTGCTGCAAGTCTAGTGGCACTATACTAGTGGCAGCGAATAGCAAACTCGATCTTAAAGGGCAGCTATTCCGATTTATACCGCTGGGTGATAAAATTTAGCGGGATGGAAGAAGTGCATATGCTACAAATGGGCTGCCTGAAAGTGACGTCTAACTTTGGCAACTGCCCTAGATCTCTGATCTGGATGAAAGCTGTTAATAAGTGAAACAGCATCAACCCTAAGTCAACCAAGAACACTGTCATTGCAGAGTCGTCTACCGTATCTGTGTAAAAATATCAAAAATTGAACTTGCGATGACCTAATAATGTGAACTTGCGATGACTCCTGCTTTATGGCTAGCTAGATAAAATCTGGATAAATGGGGCCGAGCAGCACTGAGGTGATAACAAATTGACAAGGAAAAAGAGAACAAAGCTTAACTCCACGAAATCACGAATCAGGGTTTTCGTTCATGGCCACCAGTTTTTAGTAGATCACATCCAGTTTCAAGTTCACTGCCACCAGATTTCTGCTGAGGTTCGCTTACCCCCTGTGTGCTCAGCAATCATGCTGCCTCCACCACCACTGGTGTCAATATGCAAGCTCTATGACATCGCATCATCCCTTACTTCCAAGCCGCACTCGCCGATATAACCACATGCTTGTATGTACCTCACAGCGCTATCTGACTAGCTGCCTGCTATGCATCGTGCAGCTTCATCAATAGGAGGTTGAATTATTGGTTCTCACATCAAAGCAAGAAAATCTGTTCATATTTTATCTTTTTGGTACTAATGTCTCATTTTCAACTAGTGAGCAATGCTGTTACCGCCACTGACTTCCTTAACATTGCTGCTCTACAAAGGGGCTTCGTCATCTGCTCCCTCATCCTACTCTTTGCATTTGATGCAAGCCCCGTGGCATTGAAACAAAGCCGAGTTATTTGTACTTCTGATATCGTCTTCTGTTGTCCAGTGCAATCAGGTTGTGAACTGATTCACTGTCCTCAAGCATTTGACCTCGCAAGTAAGAGCAGAGTCTGCGTTGCATGAAAAAACAGGAAAATAATGACAGCTTTTACCCTAAAACACACCAAAACTTGAGGTATTTCTCATACAACATAAAGATAAAGAAGGCAAATTCGGTGATGACTAGCAGACACACTGTGAAGACAACGATTCCCGTGTGCACACTAATTGCTCAACCTTAGGAAATGTTAGGATGATTGAGATCAAGGCATTAACTCAAATGTGTCGCGATCTACTATATTTGTGCATTGCTTTCTTGCTCCACTTGTGATAGGCTTTGATATTTAATCAGCAAATTAATTTCGTTATTTTGCTGTTGCACCAGCACTACATTTATTTGCTCCACCATGACCTGCATTTCCACCACGCGTGTACTCACTCCCACTACTGTTGCTAACACCTCTACTGGGTTGATTATGAGGTTCACATTATATGATTTCACCACCTCTCACTTTGTTCTGGCCCCTAGCTCCGTCTTCTTCATCATCATACGAACCGCTCTGATCACTGTCTCCATCGTTAGTGCAGCCGCCTGTCCACGTGCTACCTCCGTTGCCTCCAGTTTCCCTCCGTGTCGAGATTCGGTGTTTATTCATGCTGCCACGGAGGTCGTCAATATCCCAGCTGAAGTAATCAAGAAATAGTTTGTTGAAAAATTGCCATTTATGCCAACAAATTGCTTACTACATTAGTGTACAACCATTGGGCGATATACTTTTGTACAGAAGCGTAATAAATGCAGTGTGTCCCAATCCCCTTAATCTGCTCTAATTGACACTATATTAATTGTATCTTTAAAAAATATGCTTGTAAGTAGGACCACTGCGCGCAGCTCATGGTAAAATTGTTATTGTCTAGACAGCCGTCCACAACCCAACATCTCGTGCAATGTATTCTTCTCGTGTGTAAAAATACATTCAATTCCAACATTTCCAATTTCATGCCCTATAAGCATTGATTTCTCAACTGTTCCTCCATTTTACTCTGGTATGAAAAGTTGCGTATTTATGAGCAAACCGCTTTCATCATCTAGAGCTGCAAACGATCAGATCCTGGTATTTTTGTTGGTAGTATTACTCGGGAATCAATGCTGAATTAATCCCTTACCTCAAGATGAATGAAGAATTTAAGGTGTGAATCATATAAACGCACAATGACTCTAAAACGCGAATTCAGTAAAATATGTGCGAGAAGTAAATCGTAAAAGAGGTACATTGTGATGTAGATAAGTTGCTAATGGTGACATGCAAAATCGACTCAAATTTCATACGGTAAATTTAGTTCATTTACTTCCACAAATTTAAGTATGATGTTTTAAAGTTTTTAATTTGATTTTTAATGATTTGGTGATGAGAATAGTTATTATTCATTTGTTTAAGCTTTTGGAATTTTGCATTCACATGGACTATAGCGCCTGGGGACTTCCCTGGATTCGAGAGAAGGCATAATACTCTGGCTAGGGCTATTGCCATTAACCGGAGGCCATCCTACACGGCAAAGATGCAATGGCCAATACACAAGGTTGTTCTCCATCAAAACCGAGGTGTAAACAAACAGCCGAAGTATTAGGTAGCCTCTCTTCTCTTCTGAACGTAGTGCCCGTCGCTCCTCTTCCTCGACCTCCAGCGTCAGTCATCTTAAAGCTGTCATTATCAAGCTTCCGAGAAAGTGGGCAGACAGTATACCGGAACCTCGCTGATTCCTCCTGGCAGTTCAACTGGATCTGCAGTTTCCTTCTGTATGGCAACTGCCGTTTGGAATGGGTGAATATGCTGCTCATCACATGTGTCCATAGCTAGACTTGAAAACACTCACCCAGAGCAGAGTCGAATGACACAGTGTAGGAATGGACACAGTTCAGTGGAAATGGGGCTTCGCTTCCCTTTCTCTTCACCACCGTTCCCTCTTTAGAGCTGCCTAGTCATTTCTATCTGGGTTCTATCCAGCCAGTAAGGCAGTTATCACTCGTTCACATCAAGGATGTCTATGCAAAAGTGCGGTAAAACTCCAAAATTTGTCTTTTCCCGATATTTCAGGGCCAGCCTCGCCTCAGCTGTTACATCTTCTCTCTGCAGAGCATAAAAATAGGCTAGTTCCCATAAGTAGACGCCATTCTTTGACCTACCACTGGGGGTCGTCACGGATTCTCCTATCTTAGCATATGAACGGCTTCTGTCCAGCTAGGGTTTATTCCTACAGATAGGGTTAGCTTTTGCTTCTGCCATTGCATCTTTCCGAGACTCCCCCAAAGATGATTAAAACATGCTGCTCGGGAAGGATGCATGTATTCTGCAGATGGTAAGGCTCAGCGCTGCTGACATGGCCCAGAGGCCAGCCCACATGGCTAATGCAAAATCATCAAAGCGCACAATAACGCTATACCTGAACTGTGGCTCAAAGGAATAACTAATGTTTTTTCAAGGACAAAAATTCAACAACTGTTTGCACTCATTTGTGATATGGCAAAAGAATTTCTAATGCGATTATTTTCAAATGCACGATGGTTGTTTGATTTGCCACTTTCTGTAATATTAGCTGATGTAAAGCATGATATATACTTGTGCATTGTCCTCTCTGTATATTTAACGCATTGTCGCTTTTAATAAAGCCAGGTTTTGGCTGAAGAGGCTCTAGTTGGTGCAAATGATAATGCGGACCTAAATAAAGACAATAATACAACTGTTTCTGATGTTGCATTATCTGATAAGTTATAGGGAATATATGAAGACCGCTTATTTTGAAAGTGGGATTAACCTATACCTCGTATTTTGCTAGGTAACATTCAGTTGCATTTCTTGACCTGTTGTCATGTTTTTATGTCCTTGTGCATTGAATAAGGGGGGTTTTTACCCAAAGGCTTTATGCAATCACACCATGGCGATTGCATTATCCAAGTCGCCATAACCTCAATATTGGTGAAGCCTATTGTGCGTGGATGCAGCTGCCTTACCTCCTCGATAACTCCAACAGGCTCTCCAATATTAAACTGAATAGCATCCTGCAACGTGAGCAGACGTGAGGTGAACTAAAACAAGCTGAAGAGGTGTTGAATGCACTACGAGACGTCAATGTTCAGACTAAGTGGCATTA